CATTGTATAGTAATATGCTATGACCTTAAATTTATCATTATTTACATCATTCCGCGGTACTTTAATTTTTATTTTGTATTTGTTTTTGTGATGTAGGTTGGATTGGGGCACCAACTGCTGCTCCACAGGTGCCTCCTTCCATGACCAAATGATCGCCAATATACTTGGCAGACAATTAATGTCGTGTTTGTCTTCTCCATGTCTCTTCTGTTTTTGTTTGATGGAATTTGCTTTGTGTTGTATGAATGTATATTGATGTTGATATAGTGCGTGTATAAGCGAGGATGTTCCAGATCCAACATATTGTAATGAATGTGCCGTGGTTTGTTTTGTGTTCTGATACATTTCACATCAACTGGATTAAGGAGTTAAAAAGTATTAGTACAACATGATCAACTACAAAGAAAATCCTATAGCTTATGGAATTGTTGTTCACATGACAAGGAAAAGATTTGACATTTCAAAAATCTTAGGTGTGTGTTAACAAGACTTCAAGAAGGACATCCAATGATCAAAAGTAATACCTTCAATATTGTTTCAAAATCCCAAGCGGTTGGCTTTTAAATTAAGCCTCTCACTCATAACTCACGCACCTATGAGCTCTCAAACTGAACAAAGAAAACAGACCAAAACAGGGGAGGCAATTTTGTGCCCTCAGTGCTTGTGCTTCACCAGCATGGCCTTCAAGTGCCACAAAAATCTTTTACTAGTGAACGAAATTTCTCTACGACATGCAAATCAAACGAGACCAAAAAAAAAAATGAAAAAAAAATGAAAGAAGAAAAAATGAAAAAAAGAAGAGAGAAATTAAGAAATTACCTTTTCATTGCATTGGTGGGTCGTAGGGTTCTCCAATTACAACTGAAGGTACATGTTGAATTTTACAGAAATCCTCTCCATCTTCCTGAATCCTACTATGGAGTTCTATAGGCATCCTGAAAATGGTTAATTCCTTGAGATTAGTAAGATATGTCAGCCCATCTGGAAGCGTCGTCAATCCACTGCAAAACCATATTCGCAATCGCCAGAGACTAGGCATGACTCCTTCCTCTACACTCCACTCTGTTATTTCGTCCACACAAAAAACTGAAAGAAATTGAAGAGAAGGAAAGCCTTCTTTGGAGAAAACCAGTATCTTTGTATTCTCCTCAAAAACTTCACTTATAAGGAGCAGAGTTGTTAGGTTTGGCAGCTTATCTAGCATTCCCATTTGGTCGTCCTTGAGACTACAGCTACAAAATTCTAACTTGGTGAGGTGGTTATTCTAAATACATCGGATAATATAGGACAAGTGAAGTGGTTATTCTACGGGGGCATCGCAACAATAAAGACATGAAGTTATGATACAAATCAACTACAACATTTATGAAAATACCGATGCTAAACTAATTATAGACATCGGAAAATAAGAAGTGAAGTGGTTCTTGTGAAAAGGCATCTGTGGTATATAAAGAACTGATGTTGTTATCAAAGACATCGGAAGTCAACATAATTTGGACGAAAGTCAACAATTGAAGCTCATTAAGGCATCACTTTGGTTGAAGAAACCGATGCTGTTTCTGCAAAAGGCATCGGGTTTTCCCCGATGCCTTTTATACCCCCCCTTTAGCATCACCTTACGAGGCATCGGTATGTGATAGGAAAAGGCATCGGTGAACCAATACCCATTAGCCTTTTCGTAGTAGTGTATGTCAAGAACATTCTCTGCTCAAATCTAGAGCGGCTTCAACCCCTCAAGAGGTTCTAATCTAAACCCTATATTAGTACAATCATCAAGTTATTATGAACCTTAATTATATATTTTATATCATTATCATCCACATCATTTGGTCCTAATCACGGTTAATGCTTTTATTTTGTTTTTGTATGTAAAATTTTTGTTACATAGTTAGTTTATAACATATGCCGTTAAATCCATATATATATACGTGTTATATTTTCAGAAATTTTTTTTATTAGTTATTAAAAATAGTAATATTATAATAAATATATGTTTTGATTTAGACAGCTTTATCTCGTTGTTACTGTACTTGAATGGCTAAGTTCAACAGTCTAGTTGTTATCTAAATCTTTTTACAAACACACTTTAGATTCACAAGTGTCATTATATCTAGGTGACTAATTAAGCTCTATTTTAGCATGAGGTGTTGGGAATCTAGTAAGAGTTATCCTAATCTTGGAGCCCAAAATTCTCACATGATCATGACCTCCCCACCAATTAGAACTAATTGGTTCTTCCCTAAGTATTACTATAAATAGGACCTTTTTCCTTTGTTTTTTAAAGTACCTAACCTTGCATGAAAGTTCATGCAAAGAGAAAGAAAAACGTAGAGAGAGAGAGAGAGAGAGAGAGAGAGAGAGAGAGAGTAGTGATAAAATTCTCATGAGGAGTTAGGGGCCGTATGTAGCTTGTGGTTGTTTTTCTTAATTTAGAATTAGCCTTGAAAAAGAGGTAGGGGTTTCTTGGGAGCCTTTTACATAGATTAATTTAATTAATTTTCGTGTGCATTATATTATGCATGGTATTATAGTTTGGTTGATGTTCCTTGTATTAGGTATTTACATATTCTTAACTATTTGAACAATGTTGGCATAATTATATATACATTGGTGATGTTTTAAATGGTTACATTGTTGTGAAGGATATGTGAAAGGCATGATTGTATCATGTCATGGAAATTGGCTAGAATTGTTGGGTTGAGAAAATAATGATGGAAAAGAGGGTAATAGAAATGATCTTTTGTGTAGTTGAGTCTAACTCTTGGGCATGTGCCAGATCTCAAAGATCCCACAGTGCACATGGTTTTTATAAGCATTTGAGACCAAGTGGTATAAGCATGGTATGGGACGTGTAAGTCTGCTTGTCCAGTTATATGAATTAACGGGAGTAGATGAAGAGCATTCATGCATTATTATTAATAATGTGATATTTGGCTATCTGATTGTATGTCACTTAATTTAGTTATATCAATTTACTGTGAAAAAGTTTATGTGCATACTGAGCTGTGGTTTCGCTCACCCCCTAACATATTTTGTAGGTACTAAACCTGAAATCTAGGACTTGTGATTATTATGGCTTGTTTATAGAGTGTATTGCAAACATAGCTTGTTGTTGAATAATGAGCTACTCTTTTAGTGAACTCTTGAGTAGTTCTAACTAGTAAAATAAAAGTAAAAATGTAAGATTTCAGATGTTGTTTCCGTTGAATATTCTATGTGAAATATTTATTTATTTATTTATTATAGCTTTTATTAAATTCTATAATTAAGATGTGAATCACGTCTTAATCCAAGATTACGTAAATCCATTGATTGGGGTGTGACAACTTTAGCAGACAAAGGCCTATTAACAATTTTTTTTATTTGTTTAATTACTCAGTTTCAGGAATAAATGGTTAATTTGTATTCTTTATGTTTGAAGATTAATAATGTTGATAAGTGTGTGCTTAAGAGACGGTGTCTTCCTGTCACGCCCCGGATTCAGGGTATGGTGGGAAAAAAAAAACCCCCCGTGCCTGTGTATGAGGAAATTTGAAAAAGGCCAAAATAGGGTTTAAAAATAAACTTCTCTTATAAAAATAGCTTCAAAATCATACAGGAGTACAATAAATAAATGAAGTACTATCACTCTTATCTAATTCAACTTCGGCTCACTTACCACCCGTCGTTTGGGTTTTACAACTGCAGGTCTATAAAGGGGTGAGCAAAACCACAGCTCAATAGGGACGTAAACCTTTCTATAGTAAATTGATATAACTAAATTAAGTGACATGCAATCACATAACAAATGAAAGATAGTAATGCATGAATGAGCTTTGATTCTACCCAACCCATTAATCTATATAATAGGGCAAGCAAATTTGCATGTCTCATACCATGCATTTTACCACTGTAACTCTGAATGCTTCATTATATAAACTAACACCTCATCTCAATCATCCCATAATTCCTCTTTTGCTAGTCGTTTTGTCTAAGTCATGGATCTCCAAGCCCAAATCACCCAATTGACAATTATACCGCCAATATCCTAATCTACTATGCACACGGGCTTGCTTGAACTGGGTCCATACAATGGTTAGACTCAACAACACAAAAGATCCTTCCCATTACCCTCTTTTCCATAATTTCTTTATTAATCTAAGAATTTCAACCATCACCGATAATATATGAACATGTTAATATTAATAAAATAATATAATGATAATTAACAACATGTAAACACCAGTATCAAGAACATTAATCAATTTATAATATCAAGTATAATGTAATTCTCACGAAATTTAATCAAATCAATTTTTATAAAAGCTCCACCAAAACCCCCAACCTCGATTCCAAAGCATAACTCCAAATTAGTAAAACACAAACAAAGCTCTCTATCTCTTCCAATATCATATTTCCTTGCATCTCTCTTTCACTTTTGTCTTTCCACTTTGTCTTAAAGAACTATCAAAGAATATGAACGTAAGGCTGTGAGCTATAAGCAGGAAATGACAATTGACAACCCACTACGTGATAGTGCTTGTAGGTTGACTATAGTAAAGTGACGTGTCCAACAATAGCATGATCAAAGTTGATCACTACCACTCTTAAACTTCGCATTTAGTTTTGCATGCAGGAGGTGATACGAGAAAGACATATCTAAATAGTTTTGCATGGTACGTACTATTATAAAAGTATAACAAACAAGTAAGTATTATTATAAAAGTATAAGAAAAATGAAATAATTTGACAATACATGCTTTGCACGTTGTAGAACTTAAAGATAACACAACATGCATGTTTGCGTTGCGAAATAAGGACCGCCTATAATATTGCGTTACAGCTGCAAGTGGATAAGGATAGCACAACATGCATGTTTGTCCTCTAGGGTTTCGTCTAGTACTAGTAGGGTCTTACCCAGTATATACTGATTCTTTGTAAGTGGATATAAACCATTTGTATTGATTCTTTGTAAGTCTATATAAACCATTGTATTGATTCTTTGTCAAGCAAGACACTTCTACATTTTTCGAAAGCATTTCATTCTCCGACAGTCTCTCTCTCTCTCTCTCTCTCTCTCTCTCTCTCTCTCTCTCTCACATCTCCTCTTACATTACTGAAACTTTTCCATTTCCAGCAATCTTTTTTTTTTTGGTCGACTTCTAATCTCATAAAAGAAAACCATGAACGTTGATTATGGTCATCACCCTCAGCAGTGGTCGGGTGGTCTTTGTAACTGTGGAGAAAATTTTTGTACATGTAAGATATAAATTCTCTCTGGGGCCAAAATTCACTTTGTCTATTATAGTTGCCTGACAAGTTAAATTTATACCAAGTAACATTTTTTAGCACTTCTTTTATAAATATATATATACTCAATCCATCCAATTGGTGAAATTGATCTTGTGGTGTAGGTTGCCTCACATGCTGTCTCCCATGCATCACCTTCGGCCGAATCGCAGAAATCGTCGACGAAGGACGAAGTTGTAAGTGTCACAAGACCAAAAAGATTTCCCAAATTTATAAACATGGCGAATTTATTATTTTTCCCTTAAAGTGGTTGTATATATAACTGGTCTCTCACATTTAGTTCTCCAGTAATAATAACGTGATCGCTTAGTGTGGAAGAACGGTTGCGATGCATAGACTATTGTATATAGAAAAGTTAATTTCTCATTACACCGACTGCGCTTGACTTTAATTATTAATTAAAATGATTAGGTCAATGGTGTGTTACTAACGGTTGGATTTTGTAATTTTAGCTTGCCTTTCCCAAGGCCTAGTGTATGGGTTGTTGTTCACGATTAATTTCCAGTGGGTCTACTCATGCTTGTATAGAAAGAGATTGCGCCAAAATTTTGGCCTGCCGGAGGAGCCTTGTGGTGATTGTTGTGTTCATTTCTTCTGTGAACCGTGTGCCCTCTGCCAAGAACATGCTGAGCTCAAATCTAGAGGCTTCGACCCCTCCAAAGGTTTTAAACTAATCCTACACCACACATATATGTCGTCATCATATAATTATGACCTTAAATTTATCATTATTTACATCATTTGGGCGGTACATCAATTTTTATTTTTTATTTGTTTTTATGATGTAGGTTGGATTGGGACACCAACTGCTGCTCCACAGGTGCCTTCTTCCATGATCAAATGATCGCCAATATACTTGGCGGACAATTAATGTCGTGTTTGTCTTCTCCATGTCTTTTTTGTTTTTGTTTGATGGAATTTGCTTTGTGTTGTATGAATATATATTGATGTTGATTAAGTGTGTGTATAAGCGAGGATGTTCCAGATCCAACGTATTGTAATGAATGTGCCGTTGTTTGGTTTGTGTTCTGATACATTTCACATCAACTGGATTAATAAGGAGTAAAAAAGTATTAGTATAACTTGTTAACATGACCAACTACAAAGAAAATCCTATAGCTTATGGAATTGTTGTTCACATGACAAGGGAAAGATTTGACATTTCACTATGCCCAAAAAGGCCTTTAGCAACGGATTTTATCCGTTGCCTATTACTCATAAATACCGTGGTATTCAAGCCTGTTGCCTGTTACTATGTAACTTGTTAACACAAATCTTTTACTAGTGAATGAAATTAAACATTTGATACCCAGAACCCATTCACTACGACATGCGAATCAAACGAGGCAAAAATAAGAAAGAAGAAAAAAAATAGAGAAATTAATAAATTACCTTTTCATTGCATTGGTGGGTTGTAGGGTTCTCCAATTACAACGGAAGTTACATGTTGAATTTTACAGAAATCCTCTCCATCTTCCTGAATCCTACTATGGAGTTCTCAAGGCATCCCGAAAATGGTTAATTCCTTGAGATTAGTAAGATATGTCAGCCCATCTGGAACCGTTGTCAATCCACTGCAAAACCCTATTCGCAATCGCCACAGACTAGGCATGGCTACTCCCTCTACCGTCCACTCTGTTATTTCGTCCATACGAAAATCTGAAAGAAATTGAAGGGAAGGAAAGCCTCCTTTGGAGAGAACTAGTATCTTTTTATTCTCCTCGAAAACCTCACTTATGAGGAGCAGAGTTGTTAGGTTTGGCAGCTTCTCTAGTATTCCCATTTGGTCGTCCTTGAGACTACAGCTACACAATTCTAATTGGTGAGGTTTGGATAGTTGTGGAGCTCTTTTGGTAATTCTGCTGTTGGCCAATCCAGCTTCAGTTTGTATATACGATGACAACTTGATACTATTTGATTACCTTGCTCCTCATAACTTGTATTCCTTACAGAATAATAACCGTTGTATGCAAGTAAAGACCGAATACGATTAAGCGTGCTGTCTATAGATTTCAAGATTTCCTCCATATTTTCTAAGGGAATTCGCAATCTTATCTGCAGTTTTAGGAGATTGGTTAATTCATGTGTAGTCATGGATAGAAAATAAAAAATGTGTACCTCCACTTCCTCAAGTTTAAGGTGCTAGTGGACTGATTTCTTGAGGAGTAATTTTTACTCCCACACATGTCCTCTTTTCTCTCTCTAGACACGTGTCTCGGGTGTGGAGAGATAAAATATTCTTTCTGGGAGTTCATTGTGTGTAACATTTTGTGAGGTGACTTGTAAGATCTTGGATCACAAGCATGTGAGTATGGTTTTCAACCATAAGTATAATCTTTGATCATGCATTCGGCTTTCAACAACGAGTATGGTCTTCAACCATGATTTTGAATTATGCCTTCAACCAAGTTTTGTCTTCGACATGAGTCTTGCCTTCGGCCAAGTAATTTTATCTTCGACATGAATTTTGCATTCAGCCATGTTTTGTCTTCGACATGAGTTTCGCCTTAGCCAAGAGCAGTCTTCAACCATAAGTTGAGCATTGGCATGCCCCCATCAGTTTCGAGTGCATCTTTGCTAACTTCATAATTTTCCATATAGAGAAATAGGCAATAGAGAAAACTCTTTAAGTTTTCTTTTTTATCCTGAGTGGTGCAATGATTGCCGCAAAGTTATTCAGCATATGTAGTCAAGAGGTGCATGCTGGCTTTCATGTGGTCATTTTTAACAAGCTGTCAACCAATTCTAACCATGCAAGAATATAATGTTAATTTCAACAACAAAAATCAAGCGTTTTATAGAACCATACATGAAACTGTTCTCATCTCCCAAATGTAAGAGGAATAAGTAAAATACCTTGGCTTGTGTCAGATATATATAATCAATTTAAAAGCTTCTGATCATACGCCTTTCAGGCCATGGCTTCACCAACAATAAAAAATTAGCCGTTGTAAAATCGCATTAGACATACCATAAGCTCATGATATCATCATTCTTTATCACTCAAATGCTAATAGCTTCACTATTTGCTTGTTGCAAATCATGCAATTCGCTGCAAAGGAGAAGGTTGGACCTGACAACACTTGCAGATTAGTGTGGTGCTCATAGTTATCGTGTCCGAGACGCGCACCGCTGAATTCCGATGGCAGCAATGTTGGGGCCCAAGGGGCATTGCACCAGTCACCTTCCCCTGGCCTTGGTAAATCTGCCTTTCTGTACAGTGTAGACATCACACGTGGTTCTCTTGGCTCTCTACACATTGTAACAATTATAAACCATTTTAGTTACATCTACGGAGAGGCATACATGCTCCCAGCACTTCATTGCGTGCCTTCACTTGCTATGAATACGTGAGGTGGTATTGGATAATGAATTATCGAATGTGGTTAAATTGTTAATACTCCCAGCTATGATTGTTATGAAAATAACAATAAAAGTTTCATGTTGCTGCAATGTGAACATTCTTTTAATCAAATAAATATGAACATCAAACCATTGATCAAGTATCATGTCTTCCAGGAATTCTTGAATAGAAGGGCATCACCAATACTTTGATCGACATTTGTTACTTTCAAATGAAAGCTGTAACTTTTGTATTTGCCTTCTCAGAGCATTTCAGCATATATGCCTCTACTCCATTCTCAGCCCCTACAAGATTTTTCTGGTGTCGTTCAATCACGTGCGAGGCTTGGCTTTGTAGGATTTAACCCCTGCCACCAATTCAGAGATTCATTGCACGAAGTTATGGCTTTTGCACAAGTGGAATATGACTGCATATGTTCTAGTTAAAATTTGAATACCAATTATCTCTATCAAACTTGAGAATTTTTTGCAGAAAAGTTATTTTGTAAATTCAATTCAACCCATTCTCATCTACATATCACAAGATATATAGGCTATGATAAACTTTAGAAAGGCATGAAGATATGCATTGATAAAAGATGTAAGCATGTTCCAATGCCACAATTAGCCTTTCTGTAGAAGTGTCTGTCAAGACCATTCTCAGCTCAAATCTAGAGGGGCTTCGACCCCTCGAGAGGTTCTAATCTAAACCCTATATTATCACAATTATCAAGTTATTATGAGCTTTAATTATCAATTTTATATCATTATCATCAACATCATTTGGTCCTAACCACAGTTAACGCTTTTATTTTGTTTTTGCTGTATGTAAAATTTAGGTTGGATTGGGCCACCAACTTCTGCTCCACAGGTGCCTCCATCCATGCACAAGTGATCTTGAATATACTTTGGCAGACAAAGGCCTGTTAACAATTTGTTTTTTTTTTTTGGGTTTAATTACTCAGTTTCAGGAATAAATGGTTAATTTTTATTCTTTATATATGTTTGAAGATTAATAATGTTGACAAGTGTGTGCTTAAGAGACAGTGTCTTCCTGTCACACCCCGGACCCAGGGTACGGTGGAAAAACCATGCCCTGTGCATGAGAAAATAAAAAAAGGCCAAACAAAGGTTTAAAATAAACTTCTCTTATATAAATAGCTCCAAAATCATACAAGAGTACAAGAAATAAATAAAGTTATATCACTCTTATCTAATTCAACCTCGGCTCACCTATCACCCATCTTTTGGGTTTTACAACTACAAGGTCTATAAAGGGGGGATCAAAATCACATCTCAGTAGGGACATAAATCTTTCCATAGTAAATTGATATATATATATATATATATCTAAATTAAGTGATTTAATCACATAACAAATAAAAGATAATAATACATTAATGAGCTTCCATTCTACCCAACCCGTTAATCTATATAATAGGGCAAGCAAATCTGCATGTCCCATACCATGAATTTTACCATTGTAATTTTCAATGCCCCATTATATAAACTAACACCTCATCTCAATCATCTCATAATTCCCCTTTTGATAGTCGTCTTGTCTAAGTCATTGATCTCCAAGCCCAAATCAGCCAATCGACAATTATAACGCCAATATCCTAATCTACTATGCACACGGGCTCACCTGAACTTGGTCCCTACAATGATCAGACTCAACTACACAAAAGATCATTTCCATTACCATCTTTTCCATGATTTCTTTATTAATCCCAAAAATTCCAACCATCATATGAACATCTCAATATTAATAAAATAATATAATAATAATTAACAACATGTAAACACCCAATATCAAAAACATTAATCAAATTATAATATTAAGCATAAAATAGTTCTCACGAAATTTAATTAAATCAATTTCTATAAAGGCTACTCAAGAAACTCTCTACCTCGATTCCAAAGCATAACTCCAAATTAGTAAAACGCAAGCAAAGTTCTCTGTCTCCTCCAGTATCATATTTCCTTGCATCTCTCTTTCACTTTATCTTTCCCATATTTCTTTTCTGCTTTCTTTTCTGCTCTCTCTCTCTCTCTCTCTCTCTCTCTCTCTCTCCCTGAAAGAACTATCACCTTGTAGTATTAAACAAATAGTGAAGGAGGCTCCTATTTATAGTACAAATAAGATTCGGTTAAAGATGAGATAGAAAGAGAATGTCAGCATATCAATTAGGTGGTGTCAATTGGCATGTGAATATATGAATGTGAATTCATAAAGATATAAAGATGACAACTCACTAGGTGATAGTGCTTTTAGGTTGACTGTAGTAAAGTGACGTGTTCAACAACAGTATGATCAAAGTTGATCACTACAACTCTTAAACTTAGCATTTAGTTTTGCATGCAGGAGTTGATGAGAGAAAGACATATCTAAACAAACAAGTAAGTATTATTATAAAATGCCATGTGGATCGAGCTTTTGTATCGAGCTTTTGTATACTTCCAATCCCATGTGGATCGAGCTTTTGCTTTTGTACACCTCGACCATATAAATATTTAACAATTATTACCCTGAAATTTGAACTCGTAGAAGAAAAAGTAACAATGTCCTGCTCTACCAAGAGAAGAAGCATATGCCTATAATAGCGCGTTCCAGCTGTAGGTGGGTTTAGTCTTGTCTAGGGTCTTACTCAGTATATATTGATTCTTTGTAAGTGGATATAAACCATT